TACCTTCTGTTATAAGGTCATGCCATTTGGATTGAAGAATGCAGGCGCAACCTATCAACGGGCTATGGTAGCTCTATTTCATGACATGGTTCATCATGAGATAGAAGTCTATATTGATGACATGATTGCAAGATTGCAAACTGAGGAAGAGCACCTAGATCATTTGCACAAGCTATTTGAAAGGTTGAAGAAATACAAGTTGAGACTGAATCCCAACAAATGCACTTTCGGGGTGAGGTCTGGAAAACTCCTAGGCTTTGTCGTCACTAGAAAAGGTATTGAAGTCGATTCTGCAAAAGTCAAAGCCATACAAGAAATGCCAGCTCCCTGTACTGAGAAAGAGGTCAGGAGTTTCTTAGTTCGACTCAACTATATTTCCCAATTCATCTCTCACTTAACTGCTACTTGTGAGCCAATCTTCAAACTGAAGAAAGATCAAGTAGTCAGATAAAATGACGACTGCCAAGTAGATTTCGACAAAATCAAGGAGTATATATAAGAACCTTTAATCCTAATGCCTCCAGTTAAAGGAATACCTCTGATTATGTACTTGACTGTATTAGAGAATTCAGTGGGGTGTGTGATGGGCCAACATGATGAGTCTGGTCAAAAAGGGCATGCAATATACTACTTTAGCAAAAAGTTTACCGACTGTGAAACAAGATATTCACTGCTCGAGAAAACTTGTTGCGCTTTGGCATGGGCTGCTCACCGACTGAGACAGTATATGTTGACTCACACTACTCTAGTGATTTCTAAGATGGATCCCATCAAGTACATCTTCGAGAAGCCAACTCTCTCCAGAAGAATAGCAAGAGGGAAAATGATCTTGACTGAATATGATACCCAGTAGACTACACAAAAAGCTATCAAAGGAAGTATATTGGCGGATCATTTGGCGCATCAAACTGTTGATGACTACCAATCCATGAACTTTGAATTCCCGGATGAGAATATCATGCTGATAACTGACTGTGAAAAGCCTAGACTGTATGAAGGACCTGGTGCGCTACCAACAACAACAACAACAGACAAAAATTGGGGAGCTAAAAAATGCCTTCAGATTCTTAGGGAGTCGTTCTTGTCTTCATCATTAGGAGGAGGGAAAGCTCTGGTGAACCACTCAGGCTCATGCAATCAGGCACAAAAAGGCGCCACGGAAGGCTCAAATTCGACACGAGTTAACATGATGTTGAAAAGGAGTTGAAACACCTCAATATTGGGAAACGTTTTGTCACGAGGAGTCATTGGGATCAGACGTTTCCAAACAATGTGGTGCTTTGTCGGAGGACAAGCCACTCTTTTCATCCCATAAGGCTTGATATCTTTGGAAAAGGTGGCATTAAGCCACAATTGCGAGCCAAAACATTCTTTTTTCTAGAGTTAGTGGGGTCGAAGGTCTGTATTTGGGAAACAACCTCCGTCAGGGATTCATACAGTGAAGCTGGTACTAATTGACCTAGAGCAACGTCATGGCCATGATGTAACTGGGTGGCTAAGTATGAGTATTGTTTGGCTATCTGCATGGATCTGGAGCAGAAGCCAAAACGAGATAGCCACATAGTCAAGAAGGCTACATACTCCTCAAGAGTAATGGAGCCTGTTGTTTTAGCGTGAAGGTCGATAAAGTTATTGTATGTCGATTTTCTGGTTTCACCTACGTCAAATCTCAAAGGCATGAAGGCTAAATCCTAATAATTGAAAACTCGACCAGTCGGCTTCAAACCTGTGATAGCAGCAACGTCCAAAAGTGTTGGAGTTATCATGCCAGATTTGATCTGGAAGGTATTCGTAGATTCTTCCCAAAATTGTAATGCAGCAAGTAACATACCACAGGAATAAGGAGGACCACAACGAGAGATTTGCAAAAGGGTATAGATACCTAAATCTTTCCATTGGTCAGCTTTCCCTACTTTTAAACGTTCCATCCACGCACAAAATTTAGGGCAGTTTCTGAGAGGAGCAGTTTTAAAATTTCTATAACATAGTGAAGTGATAAAGGTTGTACAAGGGAGACTAAGGGTCTAATAACGTTACTGCACAGAAAAAATGTATGTCCGTTTGTAGAGACTACTATTTCACCTTCTTCAGAAAGAGGACCTAGGAAGACTAAAGGTTCATCAGCAAGGGAAAAGAGAATCAATACCTGAGATTTCCATATTTTTAGCCTTTTCTTCGGCGTATGGAGGTTCAGGAACGTACTCTCTTCCATTAATAATAAGTGGATGTTGTAGTTTTGCAGAATGAGGAATGCGTTTGGATGAGCTCGGCATTAGAGAGGAAGAAAATGTTAGAGAAGATGAAGATCGAAAGAAGAAATAGGGTTTCATCTTTTGAGAAGATTTGTTGAAGGTTTGGTTGCGAAAAAAGAGAAAATGAGAGGAAACCCTAAGTTAAAAAAGAAAAAAAAAACGTTTGAGTTTCTTTCTTTTTTTTCAACTTCTCAAATTCGTTTGCCACATCTGAGGACACGTGGTGATGTAGGGTGGAAGATAGTGGGCAACGTCTCTCATTTAAAAGAAATAATGGGTGAGTTGATATGCGCACGTCTCGAGGAAAATGTGAGATACATTATCATGATGTCATGACGTCATAAGGAAGGGAAAATAGTAGCGTCAACTAAGCAAAAAATGAAAACGAGTAAGTTTGATTGAAGGTAGACGATATTTCAGAGATGTCATTACCTCATATTTGTCGAATTCGAAAATGGCATCTTTGAGACACATTTTGTTACCTTAAAATTTCTTTAAGACATTTATTGCATTGTTAGTATGACAACCTTGTGAGCTGAAAGGAAAATGCCTTCCAAGAGTATGGACTTTAAGAAGATTAGAGTTAAGAAAATGATAGCTGGAAAGTTCTTATAAAGAAATAAAGGGAGATCGACGAACAAAAGAGAAAGTAGTTGACAAAGACAATAGCAAGCCAATCGATTTTAGTTCCGTCGACAAGAATGGAATCCAAGACTTAGAGAATTTGGATTATTTGTCTACAACAATGGTTGATGTCGAAGCAAATTTATAGGCGGCATAAATTTTGAAATTTGAATATTACAGCGGTTACAAGAAGTTTCTTGATCAAGGCGCCAACTACGTGGCTAAATCTGAGGAAGCACTTTTATTAAGTCACATACGTGTCAGATTAGTATTACGTTGAAGTGCATGTTTAATTATTATGTAACTACTATAAATAAGAGGGTCTAATATAGGATTCAGTGTGTTCATTTTGTACTAAAATTACTTGTAAAACTCCATATTTTCAAGCGTGAGGAAGCAAGAGTTCAAGAGTGTTAATGTACGTGAATCACCACATTTATTTCAATGCAGACTCCTTTCTTTTCAATGATGCCCTTTAAATCATTTGCTTGCATCTTATTTACTTTTGAACAATCTTTTTATGTTGTCATTTACGTTATTGAATCTCGTTCCATTACGATACTGGAATTCACTGAGAGTTCACTCAATATTTACTTCATTTAGGACAAGTCCTAGTCTTCTGTCGATTTGTGAAAAACTTTTACTTGTTCCCTTATTTAGAGAAAAATATTTCTCACAAAGTAAGGCGTTGCGTCGACAGAACAAGCACCATTTCATTCTACTAGCACATGTATTAGTATTAACTAGTCGATCCTGTGAGTAATCCTTAGTTTTAGACTTTAGGAGGACTAACAGTTGTTTACCATTTTCCACATTAAACAAAATAATATTCTTATATTCTTATAATTGAATTCTCTTATTAATTTGTGCATGAACTTATCAACAACCTCATGACAAATTTGCTCTCAAGAAGCTAGGAAAACCATCATATTTGTTGGGGATTGAAGCCAATTATCAGTCCAATGGATCTATGTTACTTACTGTATCCAAATACATAAAAGATTTACCGTCAAGAGCACACATGTGTGCTGCCAATGGTTTCTTTATCCCTATGCCAAGTTGATGCAAGCTAAGTAAGCATGGCACTAATGTGTTTAGTGATACTCAATTATGCAGATCAATTATAGGGGCCTTCAGCATGTAATTATAGTGATCCTCAATTCTTAAAAATATATATACAATATCGAGATATTTAAGAATTATAATGACACCTCACGTATCAATATGACTGATTACTCGGAATGAAATACTAGATTGCAAAATTTTATTACTTGTTGTGTTTTGTATTATTCTAATCATTGCATAGAATTGTAGGCTGGTATAAATTATGTGCTTCAAAACTTCAACAAGCAGAAAACTTGGAATAGTAGTTGAAGGAAACTTAAATCAGTAAGAGGGTAGTGTCCATCTGATATACCTTACAGAGGTACACATTAGTGCTGGTACAGCTGCAAGTGCAAGCTAATTGGGAGAAATTTGAAACAAGGTTGTGCTAGAAAACAATGGAGGTTGATGCAAATTGTGATTTTCAGAATGTTAAAAGATTATGTTGATAGGATTTCTCTTGCATGAAAAAATTCAAATTGAGTGAATGTTGATCATAATGACTTCAACCTATAGCCGTGACAGAAGAATAACAAGACAATTCAAATAGAAAAGTCCCACTTTTTTGGGGGCAGTGGTCTAAGTGAAATTTCTTTAGATCTTTGTGCTGTTATATGTTCATTTAGCACCGAATGCAATGAATTAAACTACATAATCAACTTGTGAAACAGAAATGAGGATAATCTGTAAAACTTAAAAACTGATGCATAGTAAATACATAAGATTAGAACACAAAAATTGTCTGATTGTTTGAATGGCCACAAAAATTCCCATCTCAACAACCAGCTATTTAATCTGAAAGATACAAAACTTTCAAAGAAATAGAAGAAAGTTTAATCATCATTTCTGCCCACATTTCTGATTTGTGATACGCCCTAAAATGCACTTATTATACGAGTGTGACATGTTGGTACAAACTGTCAGGTTCAGTTATCAAAGCAACCAACTCCAACTAACTAGATTAACATACTCTAATAAATGCTACATACCTAGGTCCTCTTCGACATGTGCGAAGACCAGTCAAATAGGCAATGCCTCCCAATCAAGTGTTTCACCGGCAAACATGGGAATAATATCTCCGAAAGGAAATGACAGACACTCGGGTACTTTCCAAGGTGATTTCCTCAGTTTAATCTTTGACTTGTTTCTGGGGATGCCATAGAAGTCAGGTCCATTAAAACTTGTAAAAGCCTCCAGATTGTTCAGTGCACCAGCCTAAACGGGCAACAATTTTATAAAACATTAAGATCAAACTCCATAACTTTGAGAGCAAATTATGAGTTTTCCCATCAAGAAACATACAATTTATACTCAGATAAGAAGATTATCATATCTTAAAACCCGCATGAGAGATGAATGAGAATAATTACCGAAACACAATTCTACAATTTGACATCACCACTATGTTTAACATAAGAGATACTGGCTTACTCTGCAAACCTTTTGAAAATAATATTTTCATTTCTATAACAAAAGAATAATTCACATTAAACTCAGAAAATCAAACATATCGCGATTAAATGAAATAAATCTGTCTTTTGAAATCTACCCATATGTACATTTGCAACATTGACATATTTAATTCACTATAAACTTATAATAAAAGTGTTACCTCTTCAAAAACCTTAGCATATAGTGATAGAGCAACCGGGGAGTTGTAAATGCCAGCACATCCACAAGCACATTCCTTATTACGCCTATCATGTGGAGCACTATCAGTTCCGAGGAAAAATCGCTTGCTTCCACTAGTGATAGCTGAAACAATAGCCTGTCCTAAAAAATAGACAAAAAGAAAACTTTGATCTATCATCTAAAAGTTGTTGAAACTCTGGAAAATAAGGGAAAAGAAACAAAGTAACATACTGTGGATCTCTCTTTTAAGCACGGGAAGACAATAATTGTGAGGTTGTAAGCCACCTTGAAACAAAGCATTTCGATTGAGAAGAATATGCTGAGGTGTAACAGTTGCGGCTACATAACCTTGCAAAAATAGAAAATTATTAGAAAGCTTTTACAACTAAACTAAGTACATACAGAAAATCTCTCCCAACCCCTAGTAATTTACTACAATACCTTCTTTGCAAGACTCTACAAACTTAACGGCATCCATGGTAGTAATATGCTCCATCACAACCTTCAATTGCGGAAGCCTTTGAACTAAAGGCTCTAAAATTGTTTCAATAAAGACCTTTTCCCGATCAAAAACATCAACTTCTGGATTTGTGACCTCTCCATGAACCTGTCATGTAAACTGATTCACAGGTAAGAAAGTACAACGAAAACTTTTGAGTACTTTATAAAAACATAAAAGACATGCAGATAAAGAGAAAAACATTTCACTTCGCCACACTTTGCTTGCCATATGAACCACTCAGCTCATTTTCGAGTTTGAAGTGTTTGTAGATAATTTCATTATGGAAAAAAAATCTGAATTTCGTATCCAAAAAGATATATTCTATTACAAAGGAGCAGTACGGTCAATTGCGGATTGTTAAAATCTGTAGCACCTCTATAGCTACTATTTGACAACATTTTATACTAAATAGCATATTGCAAAACAATAGCGGTCTGTCCAAATTCCACTATGCTATAGAGAGATAGTGCTACTATAGCGGCTACTTAACAACATTGCAAAGGAGTAATAATTACTTCATGAACAATTTAACTTATGAATATGATAACTGATTGAGAAATTAGAATCAAGAATCTTCAATCAAAAAAAGCATGGCAGCATAAAGCATGAAACACATTTTCTATAAAACAGTAAAAAAACATTCAATATAGTCTCTCCACAAACAAAAAAATTATGGAAAGTACACTGAACATACAGAGTAAACAAATTACCAATAATGGTAAACCTTGCTCAACCATTTCCTCAAGAACAGAATAACAATTTCCAAAAAGATCTGTAACACCATCTTGAGAGTTTGTTGTAGCACCAGCAGGATATAGCTTTATACCATAAACAAATCCACTTTTTTCTGTCAATACAAGTAGCACCAGCATCAAATATTAACAAGTAATTATAATAAAACAGCATACACACACAAGAAATAATGTTGATAATAGACAGAAAAATTAAATTAACAATTCAGGGTAAAAGTTGTTAAACTTGTGAGGCAGTGATAAGACTCACTTGCGATTTGAATCTCATGAGGAGTTGTAGTATCAGTGAGGTAAAGTGTCATGAGAGGATTGAAATTGGAAGTTTTAGGTATTGCTTTCAAAATTGATTCTCGATAAGATATAGCGGAAGATGTGGTGGTGATAGGTGGTTTCAAATTGGGCATGATTATAGCTCTTCCAAAATGTTTAGCACTGTGAGGGGCTACAGCTTCAAGAAGTGCACCGTCACGAAGATGGAGATGGAAATCATCAGGTTTTGTAATAGTTAGCTCCATCTTTCTGTCTCCGCTGCCGTCGGCCGTAATCTTTGTGTCGTTCGATTATAGATTAAACCTTCGTTCCTGGTGTTGCAAGACCATTAGTTTAGCGAGCTTTGTGGTAAGGGCATTGAAAAAGAATCTACATGCACCCTAAAGATGGTTCTTACACCCCATATATTTTGATAATACCAAAATATACCCTCTCTATAGCTACTATTTGACAACATTTAAGGTAATTGGAAACATGGCCCATTTTTGAAGGCAACACATCACAATTGGAAACAAAAACATGTCTTATCACTACTGAGTTAAACTAGGTCCATATTTCCACAAAAATTCAAGTTATCATTAAACAAATATTACGTATCTTAAGCTTATTCATATCTACCTATAAAATACCATTCCAACAAGTCCAAAAAATTTCACTTGCATTTTCTAAGGTTTTTCTACAAAAAAATGTCAAGTTTCTTCCGTTTTTACGACGTTTCCAAAAATTTATCTGCTTAATTTACACATCCATAACAGTGCAAATAAACAAAAATCTCCCCACTTCTAAAAGGTGTCAAAAGATTTGACTCTTTTCAAACCTCAAAGAGTCTAACTTTTTTTCTCAATAAACTTATTCACATTCTAAAATTAATTTGAGTTAAACTACACTAAAGGTATACAAGCTCATCAATTAATTCTTCAAACTAACACAAACTGAGATCTTAAATTATAACTTGACAATTCTAATAAACACCAAGTGACTATATCTATTCTTTAAGCCAAAGCTCAAGTCGATTTAATTGTGACAGTTCTCACATTATTCAACTATTACAACTAACTCTAAAACTTTGAGTAGAAAATCACCTAAGGGCCAAATAATTTAGAGATTCTAATATATTCAATCTTACTCTAATCACAACTTCAAATTTTCTTACATCAACTTCCAACTTATTGCACGAGGAAGATATGATCTTAGTGAAATCTGACAAGTAAATAAGTACCTCCTATTAGAGTATCTACTCCAGAGCACAGCAGCTAGTTTAGACGACCGGTTGGGATCTTCACCCTATAATTATCTAAATAACTCAAGTCAATTAGTTAGAGTTAGCGTCAAAGTCAGCTGCCTATGTAAGGAGCTTCCCTGTAATGGTTAAGAGACATTCATTTTATTTTATAATACTGCGCAAAGATTCAGATTTTGTTGCCTCAACTATCTTTCTTCAGTTTCTATGACTTAATATATATAATACCTCATAAACCAAATCATTTCAACACCACATTGATAACATTACATAAGAAATACATGACGATTACAATATTGTAAGGCCCTCAACAAAAAAAGAGACCAAAGAGGACAAAATAAAATACCTTTCTCGTAGTAACACTGAAGAATAACCACCGTAGAATGAAACCTTTAAGAAATCAGAATTGAAGGATGGTTCAAAACAAAATTTCCTCGAACAACAATCTGGAGAGAATGTGTAGAGGTTAAGATGGAGGATCCGATTTTGATAAGGGTTGATAGAGAAAATACAGATAAGAAGAATAAATGAAAGAAGGAGAGATAAACACGGTGGTCCGAAGAATTTACCGTTGAGAACTGCGGCGGCCGGAGGTTAAAGGTGGCGGAAGTTCGGTGGTGGCTAGGGTTTTACGCTGAAGGAAGATGGGAGAGGGAAGGTAAAGAATATATTAATACGATTGTATTTGTTATAAAAGTCTAATATAAATATATCTAATATAAATATATAAACTTCAAACTAGACGTTAATAACAACACTGCTAACTTTTTAATTAAAATTTTTAATTACATTAATTATAACGATAAATTAGTTTTTTTTTATTACTAAATTCTTTATATTATTTTAGTATTAAATGCTGCTTATTTGGCATATTCATTTTTTTTTGATAACTTATAAATATTTTTTTTTATAAAACATAATTACATTAGATAACAGTTGGAGTGCTTCTTCATTTATATTATGTATCTAACTTTAATCGCATTTTGAATATTAACTGTATCACAATTTGATATCGAACCGTTGAGTTCTCAACACAACTTTCAAGAATTCATTTTCATTAAGTGCATCGTTTATGATTCACTTTTGTTTCCCTTTATAAAATCTTCAAGGATGCAAAATCCTAACACGACTTCTCATCTTCATCGTCACATCCGTAAAGTTCATTCTCATTCGATCCATTCTTCAAATTTTAAAAGTTAACGGTTTCAATTGGTTGAAATCATTCAAGATTTCAGTCTTCTTTAATCACAGTTTAATCATTTTTATTTTTCGTTTTTCAGGTTAACAGTCAATTCACGGTTTAATCATCTTTGTTACTGATCTAACCTGATCAGAAGGTTTGGACCGTCACGGCTTGCTCCGAGCTGAAGGCTTTTTGAACGAGGAGGGGGGGGTACCTGCAAGGCACTCCGATGCTAAAGTCAGTGGGAGTACGAGCAGATAATAGAGTTGAGGTTAGAATGATGAATACCTGACCCTCTGGAAACAGAGGGTATTTATAGCCCCCAGCGCTGGGCCAAGGTTCCTTCATTGGGCCGGGCGGATTTGGCCCAATGGAGGAACTGCCAGGTTCTACGTGGGTAGTGGGGACCAGCACGTGGTCCCCTTCCTGGATGTGCTGCATGAAGTGCGGGCGGACGAAGACGCGGTCTTTCCGGAGTATCGTTGGGGCAACGGTGGACTGAGTCTGCCCTAGTCGGGTAGCTCGAGCCCATGTCGAGCTGCGCAGCATGGTGCCGAGCTCGACGCCAAGACCTCGAGCTGGACAGCGAGTGTCGAGCTGGACGCCAAGACCTCGAGCTGGACAGCGAGTGTCGAGCTGGACGCCAGGACACAGAGCCGGACGGCAGGGTGTCGAGCATGACTTCACCGCGTGGGGCTGGACATCGAGATGTCGAGGTGGATATCAGGGTGCCGGGCATGTATGTGATCCCCTTTGCCCAGTGTGGTCCTTAGTGAGTCCCTTTGGACTGGGCCTTAGTAATGCTTTTGGGCCTGTCGGGCCCAGTCCAGAACAGGAGCCCCCCAAGTCGTGGTTCCTTTGCGAGGAGCCATGACTTGAAACCAAGTTATTTCCGTTGCTGAGGTCTCGTGCCCGGGATGGAGGTGTGGGCCCTCGAGGGGCCTCCTCGTATCGTGCTCGGAGATGTCCTCGGTGGTGGATGCGTGGAGGATCCGTACCGGGCGCGTCGGTCGAGCACACGAGGCATCTTTCGGGAGCTGTGCCGCCACCCTAGGGGGGTAGGGCCATCATTGCGTTGGGAGCAGCGCGTCGAGGAGATGGAGTCCGTGGTTGAACGAGGTGACGTTTGGTATTCCATGTCATCACTATAAATAGGGTCCTTGGGCCCCATAATACGTTTTCCGTTCTCCGTGCTCTCTCCGTTGCCGCTCTCAACACTTTCTCCAGTTGCGACTTCCCGTCTCAGATTCTTCCATTTCTTAGTCAAATCCCAAACTTTAATCCAAGTAAGTGATCTAGTTTCTTCAATTTTCCGTTTAGAATGCATGATTCCTGGAATTTGTAGACGTTTTAGGACCGTGCGCGTGGGATTAGCCCGGTAAACTCGCGTTTTGCCCGACAGATTCATGTCTAGGACCGGCAAACGCGTGTTTGTGGCCGACATATTCATAGTTTTAGGTGAAAAACCTCAGAGCTGCCCGGGGTCTTCATGATCCGGGCGCCTGATGCATGACGGTGCCCGGTATGTTCATGGTCGTGGCCGTGGGCTTCATAGTGCGGCTCGCCATGTTCATAGCTCGGGCCGACATGCTTGAAGAGTGGCCGCGCAGTTGGTTTTGAGGAAGAACACAGGGTTCAGGAGAGCCGGGGAGACATCCATTTGTGAAAACGGACTTGTGAAGTCGTGTATGGGACGACATGATTACGTCGAGCATAGGACTTCATGCTCAACTGATTGGTTTCCCGTGCTCTGCAGGTAACCATGGCGGATGAGCCGAGCTCCTCCGGACGTCGTGATCGCGAAGAACAGAGTGCCGACGAGTCGGCCACCCTTATAGATACCGTGACCGACCCATTGCTGGAATGGGTGGGTGTCGAGCCGCGGGGGACAGCGTCGATATATAGCCGGGATGACCGACATCCATTCACTGTCATTGAAGAGGGTCAAGACCAGCCCGACCCCAGCAGAACTTCGTGGTCATGCTACCGTCGACAAATGCAAGAATTTGCTCGGTTTTTGCGAACTACAGCCTCGCGATGTATGAGATCGCGTTTAAAGACTTAGGGTTGCAGCTGCCGTTCACAGATTTTCAGGCCGGGGTCTTTATGCACTTGGAGCTGGCCCCGTCCCAGCTGCACCCAAACTCTCTCGCCTTCATCCGGGCGTTTGAGTTGACGTGTCGCTACTTGAGGATAGGGGCGACCATCCCTCTTTTCTTTCGGGTATTTCACCTGCAGCGTCAGTCCCGAGGAGGGAAGCACAGCTGGGTGTCCCTGAAGCAGTCGAGGAGACTGTTTAAGATGTATATGGACTCCGTGAGGGGGTTTAAGGACAAGTGGTATGTGGTACGCCCTATTACCGACTCTGCTTTAGATTCCCTTTTCGAGGAGGAGGGGCCAGTCAGCGACGACGACAGGGAAACGATGGTGGCCGACGACGGGAGCCCTGTGTTGGGTCGTAGGGCAAAGTTCCCGGTGTACTGGATGTCCCGACATTACGAACACGGGACAGGTTATTTCCATACCGCTGTCGGGGACATGTGCTCGGAGGATCAGCGGGCGTACGAGGCTCTTTGCCGGTTTGTCGACAGTTTTCATCCCGCCCGATGGGTTACGAGGGAAGGGGATGATATCCTCGACAAAGACGGTTACCCGACGTTCGAGTCTCGCCCGATCGACACCAAGGCGTTGGTGGAATATCCGACGTACAGGCAGGCTGCTCGCCTGTTAGGTTATTTGCTTGAAATTCTTTCATTCGTCGTTTACTCATGCAGTTTGCTTGATACTGACTTTTCCTTTATTTCGTGCAGGTACGATGGCTA